TTCCAAGGGTTCCCCACGGCTCGTTGAGCACGGCTTTGTCTTTATTGTGTGGTGAATACTCAGCTGCCTTGAACTCCGAAATAACATTCACCTCCTCCAAGAGGATTATATAGAGAGAGTCTGTATACTTTCAGAATGTTCTTGAATGCTCTTGAAATGCTTTTCCAATTTGCTTTTACACTCGACAGGCATAGGCATTTGACACTTCCACTAGAGCCGTTTTACCATGTCTGAGAACCGTTAGCTCTTGGCAGGCCGTGGAAAGGGCAAGGGCCGTGGCCGGGGACGAGGGCCACTTGGCACGAGTGAGTGTCGATCCAACACCCAAGAGGCGATAAATGCCTTTTTCGTGCGGAAGGTACCCCCTTTTTCGATCCCTAAAGAATCCCTAAAGTGATTCCCAGTTGCACAAAACCCAGACGTGGGCTGGGAAACCCAGACTTTCCACACCTGCTTCGCTCCAATTTCCCATTCTCGCGAAAGTCTTTGGCGCTCCCTGCGGACGTTTTTCGTTTTCCAGGAAAGGAAAGAGCGGCGGCAAGGCGAGCCCCGGCCCCTGCAGTCCAGAAGTTGACCTGGCACCTGGGTGGCTGCGCAGCCACATCTCCTGGATAGTATGGTGCTGACTGACCTCTGACTGTAAGATGTTAATTATGTTGGATCTATGGCCTCCTGGATCAGTCGTAGATATCTCTATGGTGGATAATAAATTATGCTGTGTGACCTCAGACAACACTCTTAGCCATTGCCTTTGCCTCAAGATTTACGACCATATGCACCCTGCTGACCATGAGATTGGTGAACGTGCCCGAGTCTGGATCATTCTGCTGAATCCTTTCAGTCTGGGGCTTCGTAAAGACATACATTTGCATCCATTTGCTTGCCATTGATGGGGGTACCAAGCAGCATCAAAATCTGCTCAGCTCAGGGCGGAAAGAGCGAGCCCAAGGGCAAAGGCTCCAGCAAAGGCGGGTTAACATGTAAACCCGTGGTGAGACCTGTTCTACGACCAGACTCTAGACTTTAAAGCAGCCCAACCTGGTGCCGGCTCTAGCCTTTGCTGTATGCACTTTGTAGGGAGAAAGAGGCCTTCAACTCATTGTGGGTACTACCACCGCGCGAAATTGTCTTTTGTGCTAGACTGAAGGTGCGCCTCGAAACATTTTCTCCTTCTTGTCATGTGTTACTACGTACTGTTGTGACCATGGCATGCAACCATTGAACAGGACCTGGAACACATGGAAACAGACTGGCAGGCAACAACATACGAACAAAGAAATAGACTAGAGGAGGTTCGCATTTGTGCAACAGGGAACGCCTTCTTTCCACCCACCACCCACTTAGATCCATGCTCGCAAGAGCTAAATCAGTTTGGAAAGTTCCACTCTAATGATTACATTACCGGCTTAGAGCGTTGGGCAACCCGAGACCTGAGAAACAGCCGTGAGAGGGAACGGCAAGGTCAATAAGTCCGAAACAAAATTGTTTACATCAGTTGATTGCAGCTCCACTCTAGTGATTACATTACCGGCTTAGAGCGCCGGGCAACCTGAGACCTGAGAAACAGCCCTGAGAGGGAACGGCAAGGTGAATATGTCCGAAACAATATTGTTTACATCACTTGATTTAAGAATTAAAGGAAAATGCGCAGGTAGTTTACACCCAGGTGGGGGTGTCTTCGTTGGCCGGAGACCTTCCACCTGGCCCTGCCCCCCTGCTTGACTGTACTGCTTGGAGGGGGTAAGGTGGAATTGAATCAATGTGGTCGTGCTCCTTGGAAACAGGAGCTCAAACACTCACATAGCCTTATCCGCGCTCCCTTGACTGAAAAATTATCCTGTAACCTAAAAAGCCTCTAGCAAGGAAGGAAAGACCTAGAAAGAGAAACAGCGAAGGAGAGAAAGCAAGACCGTGCATGAATTATTCAGTGTGCAACATCTAGGTGAATACATTAGCCGCATGACATGAAAGGAACCGGAATTACGCATAAAAAGCCTTTAACAACGAAAGAAGACCTAGAAGAAGACGAGAAGCAGAAAGAAGGAAAGAAATCGTTGTGAAACGTCACAGTGAATACATTAGCCGCGTGGCATGTCATAGGAAAGTTTCAGTGAACCCTGTGGCATTCGAGCAGCAATCTCGAGAAAGGACGAGAATCCAGTGCTGATCGTGCAAGACGAGTAGCCTGTGGAAAATCCCCCTTAAGGATCTATGCTCAAAACACCCCGGACGGATCACACAGCGCACCACAGTGGGACGATGCTGCGGCGCACACTTAGATCCATGCTCGCAAGAGCTAAAGAAAGTTTGGAAGTTCCGCTCTAGTGATTACATTACCGGCTCAGAGGGCTGGGCAACCTGAGACCTGAGAAACAGCCCTGAGAGGGAACGGCAAGGTGAATATGTCCAAAACAAAATTGTTTACATCACTTTAAGGGAAAATGCGCAGGTATGTTTACACCCAGGTGGGGGTGTCTTCGTTGGCCGGAGACCCCCCACCTGGCTCCGGCCCCCTGCTTGACTGTACAGCTTGGAGGGGGTAAGGTGGAGTTGAATCAATGTGGTCGTGCTCCTTGGAAACAGGAGTTCACACACTTCGAACTTGGGTTTTCAGTTAGACTCAATTGCCACGATGGGAAGGATGGTGAGGGAACAGCAAGGCGAAAGGGTCGGTAACTTGTATTGTTTAACATATGTTTCGCTCACGCGCCTGAAATGCAGTGCACAAGTTGCTGAAGAGTGCGGGGGGAAACGTGTTTGCGGGAAGGGTATCATGCGAAACCACCATGAATCAAAAAGCGGAAAAGGAGGGTAACAGCTTGTGAAGCACTCTGCAGGTACATGGTTGTGCGTCCTCAACCACTTCCCTTCCAGTGACCCAGCTTCGTTGGATCAGGTTAGTCACTGGAAGCCTGATCCCCCTGCCTGTGGAAAAGTGGTGAAAGTGGGGAAACCCTTAGAACCAGGGTGTGACACACACACACACACCGGGAAGAAGGAAACTAGTTCGGGCATAGCATGCTGGCAGTGTCATTTTTTTTCCTTTGTGTTTGTGGCTTGCTTCCTAGAAACACTCGTGACCAGCGCATGGTGGTAATATGATGGGACCAGACATCCGCTCAGCCTGGCCTGTGTAGATCGTATTAATCATAAATTAATAAATGTGAAACTGGTGAAACTGTGTGCACCGACACATCTGTTAAGTGGTCGTTTAACAATGCCGCCCTTCCAGAAATCGCTAGGCAAGGGCAAGGGCAAGGGCAAAGGCTCCAAGGCGTTCTGCTGCC